CATTTGCCCGCTCGGGCATTTCCAGTGGAGGCGCATGCCGTTCGGACTCAAGAATGCCCCGTTGATTTATCAACAACCCCTGGACAACTGTCTCTGGGGTTTCGTCCGGTTACCCCAGGACGAGGAACGACTCGTCGATCCGGAGGTGTTAGAATTCTTGGGAATCTCTCCCGAGGACTCGATCGCCCAGGTATCCCAGGGCATGGAGCCCCGGGGGGCGGTGGTCTCCAGAACTGGGTCGCCCCGGAACAGATGGGGCCTGTGCTGTCCCGGAGTTCGTACATCGATGACATCATCTACGGAGCTCCGTCCTGGGATGACCTGTGCAAGACGCTGAATGCCCTCCTGTACCGACTGCGGTACTGGACATCTCCGTGAGCCTCCCAAAGAGCGAATTTGGAGTCAAGAAGTGCAAGTACCTCGGGCACGACATCGCCTCGGACGGAATCCGGACATTCCCGAAACTGGCGGAAAAGGTCCTCAACTTGCCTTTCCCGAAGACCCAGAAGGGAGTACAGTCCTTCCTCGGGAGTCTCAACTACTATGCTAAGTTCATCGAAGACCTACCCGTTCTCGCAGCCACTCTCTACGAAACATCGGACGAGCAACCGGGCGAGATTTGGAGAAACCTAGGCACGCGTTCAAGATACTCAAGGACCGACTAGTGTCGACACCACTACTCCAGCACCCCGACCCCGGGAGGCAGTACGTAATCATATTGCACGCCAACCCCTGGGCCATCAGCGCGGTTCTAGGGCAGGACTACGACGGCATCATATTACCCGTGCGGTTCGTGGGACATGTTCTCCAAGATGCCGAACTCAGGTACCACCCCGCCGAGAAAGAAGTACTAGCGCTGCTCCGAGTCCTGAACACATGCCTTACTATGATTACGAGCTGTTCCGAGAAGAAGATTCGTGTGTATACCCGGTACTCGGTGCTGGTGTGGTTATTTAAGTCCAAGACGGTAGGCGGGAGGTGCCTCAAGTGGGCGGTCAAATCAACCTGTCCCCCTGGGACCTGGATATCCGGCGAGTCGAGAACGATGAAGATGGCCTGGCAGCGATCCTGGGAGCGGGGATCCCCCCCCCCCCCGGGAACTCCTCGACGAAGTCGCCGAGACCCTAGTTCCTGACAAGGGTTCCCGTATCACGACACCGCCAGTCAGCCTGGAAATGCTCTCCAGCGACCACATTGGACATCTGCTCAGCTTTGACGGAGCCGCCAAGAGAGATGGGTCTGGGGGCGCCGTATGCGTCCTCTGGAGTCTCCCGAGTTGGGAGATCGTGGCAGCCACGGGACATTTCCTGGAGAAGGCAGCCGAGTATTCCGGATGGGTCAAAAGCACGCAACTCGCTCTAAACGCGGGGATCCAGGAACTGGTAGTGGTTGGGGACTCCCGGTTAGCAATACAGCAGCTCCAGGGAGTTATCGGTTGTACCCAACCCCACCTGTTGAGGCTGCTCCAGGAAGCCGAAGGACTCCAGGCTAAGTTCAAATCCTTGCGCCTGGTACACGTGAAGAGAGACTTCAACGCCGCCGCCGACTACATTTCCAAACGGGTCATCCAAGAGCAGTCATCATTAGAAGTCACGGACCTCGAAGAACGGAAGTTGCTCCAGAGCCTGAACCGGATCCATGAAAAACTGATGAAGGACCCGAGTACCAGAGAACAGTCGCTGGTAGAGTGTGCGTTCATAGCCACAGCCCGGAGCATACCTAGGTGTTCCCCGGAGGGTGAAACATTCGTGACGACGCGCTCGGTGTCCGAGCAAAGCAATGCCGCTGAAGAATCGACCCCAGAATCCGGAGCTGACCACTTAGAATCTGCCGATCCCGGGGGCGACGAGCTGGGAACCGGAGGCGCGGAAGACGGGCTGACAGCCGGTCCCCGAAACCCCGACTCCCAAGACTCCGAAGAAGACGGATGCTCGTAGGGAGGGATGGAGGAGGATTTGTTCCCACCAAGCGCACGACCCCGGACTAGTGCCCCTGGTGAATTTCCTCCGAGGAGAGACAGAACGGCCCCTGGTGAGTTTCCTCCGGGGCGAAACAGAGCGATTGTCCCTGA